GTATCAAGGTGAGGCCCTTGAACTGGAAGCTGCAATCTTCATGCATGACCACCTGTACAAAGGGGTTCTCATGTACTTGGGTGACATTCCCATCTTTACCGAAACCATAGAAGAGCATGTGAAGCTGGTGTGCCAGGTGTTACAGAAGCTCCTGGTGGCCAAACTATATGTCAAAATGTGAATTCCACAAGACCCGCCTAGACTACCTGGGCTATCAAGTGTCAAGCGAGGGTGTAGAAATGGATCCAGGAAAAGTGAAAGCGGTAATGGATTGGCAGCCCCCGCACACATGCAAACAACTACAAAGTTTCCTCAGGTTTGCAAAGTTCTACCAGCAATTCATCCCCGCTGAAATTGCCCAGCTATCACTGAACTACTGAAAACAGGGAAGGGTCCACAACAGCCATGGCCGAATCAACCCCTAAAATGGACCTTGGAGTGACAACTCTCCTTCAAGCAGGTGAAGGGGTTGTTTGCCAAGGAATTGACTCGCAAGCACCCTGACCAGCCTTTTGTGATCCAAGCCGACGCCAGCGACATGGGCATCGCAGTGGTCTGCCTTCAAAAAGACATGTAGGATATATTTCATCTCTGCATGTACACCTCAAGAAAGCTGACAGAGACTGAGCAGAGGTGGGCAGTGTGGTAGAAGGAAGCTTATGTGATCCAATGGGCCCTACTGACCTGGAGATATTTCCTCAAGGGTGAGCTTGTGCCTTTTGAAATATGGACTGATCACAAAAATCTAGAGGCACTTAAGACACCATGCAAACTCTCCTCAAAAGAGATCAGGTGGGTGCAATACTTCAAATAGTTCAATATTGAACTGAAGTACATCCCAGGAGGGAAGAACCTTCTAGCCAATCTGTCATGGTCTGTCATGGAAGCCACAATACCACAGCAAATGGGAAGAGGTAGTTCATGAAATGGTACACTCTCCTCAGCCAGCATCAAAAACGGTGACCTGGGGCCAGGCCACCCAAAGGAGAGCCATGGACGGAGGGCGGATGACCCAAAAGCTGAAAGACAAACTACCAGATGACCATGGCACAAGGACAACCTGGGAATACTAATCCTTAAGGGTGAACTGGGCTGGAAAGGGTCTGAATTGTATGTGCCCAACAGCTTGGAGCTCCAGGTTCTTCAACAGAGTTACAACTACAAACAAGCAGGTCATTTGGGCTACCTGAAGACCCTGCATGGCCATGTGACAATTCTGGTGACTGAGGATGAAAAGAGACATTGAGGACTATGTAAAGAGCTGTGCCACTTGTGCGGCAATGAAGACGAGGCCTGGGAGACCCCCAGGATTACTTCAGCAGGTGGCAGACCCATCTTGACCCTGGGAGGAGATAGCTATGGATTTCATTGTCGAACTCCATGAGAGTAGGGGAAGTATGGTCATTTGGACTGTCGTAGACTTGTTTTCCAAAAGGCCCATTTTGTGGCTTGCCTAGGACTCCCATCAGTGTGGAAGTTGGCTAACCTATTCATAAGCATATGTATAGGTTACATGGAGTCACCTGTAGAATCATTTCCGATCGGGGTGTCCAATTCACAAATTCTGGAGGGAGTTCATGAGGGCCATCGGGCCTTGCAAGGACTTAGTTCTGCATTTCATCTGAGCACTAATGGGGCTGTAGAGAGAGCTAACGCCATGATGGAACAATACATAAAATGTTACATCAGCTATCAGCAATTGGACTGGGCAGAGCTGCTGCTTTTTGCGGAAGTAGCATATAGCAATGCAGTGCACAGTAGCACTGGCCTAACCCCTTTCCAAGTGACCAGCAGCATGTCCCCATGCCAGAACTTCTGAGGGAACCACCTTCCTCCATGTCATTAACTGAGTGGATGGAATTGCTAAAGAAAACATGGGAAAATGCAAAGAAGGCCATAAATAAGGTAGCAGAGGCATATAAGAGGAGGCTGATAAGCACCAGTCTACCCAAACGGAGTTTAAGATGAGAGATAGTGTTTACCTGTCCACAAAATGTCTAAAACTAAAGCTTGCCTCTATGAAACTTGGTCCAAAATTCCTAGGACTGTTCCCAATAGTGAAAGTGATTAACCCAGTCACGGTACAACTTCAACTTCCCTGATTGCTGGGGAAGGTGCACCCGGTATTCCACTGCAGCCTACTGAAGCCAGCCGTGGGCTCACAACTCCGGCCTGTGGGTCGGGCACCCCGTAAGCCCATGGTAATCAAGGGTCAGACTCTCTATGAGATAAAGAGGATCTTTGACTCCAGAGTGCAAAGGGGAAAATTGGAGTATACTGTAGTATACTGGAAGGGGTATCCACTTTCTGAGGCCACCTTTCTGAGGCCGGAACTTTAGTGCTGGATTTTCACAAGTAGCACCAAGATGGTGTACCTAAATAAATTTGATTTTTGAGGGAAATCCATGCCTCGGAGTTTGATTTGCAGTGGGTGCATTACTTCAAGCCTGACACTTTAAGTTTCTAAAAATCCTTTGGGATTGGAGCAGGGTAATGCCTCATGACTAATCAAATAAAGAAATTTATGTTGCTAAGTGAGACAGTTGTTAAGTGAGTTTGGCCCCATTTTACAACATTCTTGCCATGGTTAAGTAAACAGTTGCAGTTGTTAAGTCAGTAAAACAGCTGTTAATTGAATCTGGATCCCCATTGACTTTGCTTATCAGAAGGTTGTAAAAAATGTTCACACCACCCCTGGACACTGCAATAATCATATACAGGTAGTCCTTGACTTACAGAAGTTCATTTAGTGACCATTTAAAGTTACAACACTGAAAAAAGTGACTTATGACCAGGTTTCACACTTATGACTGTTGTAGCATCCCTGTAGTCACATGATCAAAATTCCAATGCTTGGCAATTGAGTCATATTTCTGATGGTTCCAGCATCCCGAGGTCATGCGATCACCTTTTCTGACAAGCAAAGTCAATGGGGAAGCCAGATTCACTTGACAATCGTGTTACTAAATTAACAACTGCAGTGATTCACTTAACAAATGTAGCAAGAAAGGTCATAAAATGGGGCAAAATTCATTTCACTGTCTCACTTAGTTACAGAAATTTTGGACTCAATTGTGAACATAAGTCAAGGATTTCCTGTATCAAGGTATACTACCAGTACATAAAATTTCAGATTCTGTATATTGCATCAAATCCTAGGACTTTCTTTCTCATCATATCCAACAACCAATTACTGAATTTGGAACAAACCTTAAAGCTGTGCCTTAGAACTCAAACGCAGACAAGATGCATACCCAGAATTGAGTCTCCCAAACCTCCATATGCTCTTCACATTCATTTTAAGTTAAGCATTTCTTCTTTACTGAGGCTGAAGTTACTGTCCCTACAATTGTCTCCCATGTTTGAGAATAAACTTATACATGATTAAGTAGTTAACTTCCTTCAAACTGCTTTAGGTCCTCTCGAGGCACAATGTCTTTTTTTGCAATGTACTGCAAATTTAAGTTCTTAGCATTTTGTGCTTATTCCGGGGATGCTTCAGGGAGGGGGCCGACCCTGCTGCTGCTGCTGGGGGTGCCAGACCTCTCGAGCCTGGAGGAAGGGAGGGTGGCGACTGGAACACCTACTGTCTGGAGACCGCTGGCGAGGCGAGGTAACTCTCCAAGAAGTGGTGGTGGGTAATCCACAAGCGACGGCCAAGTGGAGCATTCCAAGTCCTGGCGAGAGCCGAATGGCCCAGTGGGCAGCAGTTCAGTTTGTTGGCTTGCTGCCTCGGTGGCTTCCCGGGCCAGCAGCCTTCCTCCCTGGCTTGACAGTTGAGTGCAGCAATGGCCAAGCGCTGGTGCTTTCACTGCTCTTTGGTTTGTGGCGTTGCCCAGCGCTCACTGGTCCTTCACCTACCACTTCCTGTGGTCCACCTGCCTAGGCTGAAGCCCCGCTGTGGTGGGATGGGGCATCTGCATAGCTGCTTCAGGCACCCGCCTCCCAGTCAAGTGGGAGTGGCAGCAGCAGGGGTGAGACTCAGCACTTTTTCCACTGGTGGGACAAAGTTCTGAGGGGGAATTCTCGCTCACCTTTTGCCCACCTCTTGGATTCACCACCGCCCCCCCCGCTGCTTGGAGCTCCAGGTGGCGGGTGAAAGGTGAGTGAGGATTCCAAAGTTTGGAATATTATATTATATATAATATAATATACATTATTATAGTTATTATAAAATATTATTGACTAGATTTGAAAATATGAGAATGAATGATATATTATCCCCCAGAGCAAAGAGAAGCAGAGATGGTTAAACTGATTATTTTATCCAAAGAAGAGAATATATTTAATTTTGTCTCTATTTTGAAATTGCTTCTGGATTTTGTGCTTACAGTGGGGAAAAAAATGAAACTTTGATTCTGTTTTTGTAAACCAGACAAGCTTATTGTTATAGAAATGGCTTGTACATACTGTTGTGTAAAAGCAAAAAGTTGTGGTTGTAATATTGTTACCTTGTGCTAAAGAGAGAAGGTTGGTGCCTTTTTATTTTTTTTCTTCTGTTACACCATCTCTTCTTTTTTCCCTCCCTCTCTTCTTATTTTTTCATGCTTTTTTCTTTGTATTTTATACTTCGATAAACTAATAAAAAAGTTAAATGTTAAAAGAAAATAAAGTATATCTGATAAAAGACATGTCTCCAAATTCCTAGAGAGATTTGAAACCATGAATATGATTTTCTTCCTCTACAATGTGTGTTTTATACTTTAAACGTTCTCTGCATATTTTCCTCTTCCTTACATGAAAACCTTGTAAGTATGTAAAAATATATTTGCTGCAAATGTGGGTAAATGATATGACTGCTTTTGTAGCAACTGTTCATTTTATTAAGTGACTAAATTAAGAACAATTGCTAGAAACATCGGTCCAACAAAATAGTACAGTATTTGATTTAGGAAAAGTACATAATAAACTAAATGAGCCTGACTTGTGGAGAGTTTTGCTTGAATATGACACTGAAACTTGACTGCTGAATGCACTAGGATACATTGATATGACAGAAATAAAACATATATGAGAATTTATTGGACATTTTGAGAACAGTTCAAAACTTAGTAAGTAGTAATACCCCTCTGATTGCTTAATGTATTTATCAATAAATATTAATAGCTTGCTGATGGAACTCACACCATCTACAAAGTCCTACATCACATGGGAGCAGGATATTTGTGGGACCAACTTTCTCCAATTGTCACTGTCTGCTCCATCAGTTCCAGGAGGAGTGGCATGCTCCAGGTATTGTTTATTAAGGAGTATTATCTAATAGTCCCTTAGTAGTATGCCTTTTATGTAACTGAATCTCCCTTTGGAACATTTCCTCAATATAAAGTTAACTCTTACTGATTGTTAGGAAGGTTCTTTTCTCAGGCATGGAGGTTGAGAGGTTAGGCAAGTTATTGTTGATAATTATTTTTGTTTCATTGTTGTTATTTATTAGTAATTGTTGTTGTTTGGGTATTCCTACCACTGTTTGCAGCAAACTTGTGATTATACACCCGTGCCCCAGATGAATGAAGTGATGCCATGATTGTCTTATCCTAATGCTTGGACACTGTGAGCATCTGTATGGGGAAAGACAGGGTTCAACTGAACCTGGCAACACTGAGTGGCTTTGGGATTTGGGACCTGTCAGTTCTAGGACTATGATGCTGGATGAGGTTGCACTGCTCAAACGGATTCCAGATGTAATCTGGGATCCCCCTGGATTCTTGGCTTCTGGTTGAAGAGAAGGTGGCAGTCATTGGCGGTATGAGCCCCGGTGGCACAGTGTTAAATGCAGTATTGCAGGCTAACTCTGCCCACAGAGTGTTTGATCATGACTGTTTGAGGTTGACTTAGCCTTCCATTCTTCCAAGATTGGTAAAATGGGGAGTAGATTGTTGGGGGAAATATTCTGATCTTTCAAACTTCTCAGAGAGTCCTGTAAATCACTAAGGAGTGGTATGTCAGTCTAAGTGTTATTGCTATTGCTATAAAAGTGAACCTAAATATACAATTTGTACAGTGTGATAAATACAATATCTTGTCTTTGTTCAGCTGACAAGAGGCATTGGTTTAAGATTTGATATTACAATATTGAATATTGTAATCAAACCCTAATGATGTATCAACCTTTTCAAGTAGACCAGGTCACGAAACTGATGGTGCACGAATTCCAGGAATACTACTTTATTATTATAGGTTTCTGTATATTGACAGTTGAAACCTAGTCCAAAAAATCCACTTTCCCCATTTTAAGAACATTGAAGTCAAATTGGGAGTATTCTGCGTCTTTTTCTTACACATTCTACTTCCTCATGACTGATCAACATTTTATCTCTCCAACTTTCTTTTCAAGACCATGCTAAATTCTTCAAAATCAATTAATATCTGTAATTGTTAGTTTTTTGTTTTTAGATGGTCCTTTGTGTTGAGTTCTGGTCTCACTACAATTATGTAGCATTTAGGGAAAAAGATAGATCCCAATATTCCTATACTGGAAGCCAAGATGGAGAAGATCTCCACAGCTACCATATATTTTCCTTTGGTGCTCAGATAAGTTGGGACAAAAGTCATCCATACACTACAAAACACCAGCATGCTAAAAGCAATAAATTTGGCTTCATTAAAAGAGTCTGGCAGTTTTCGAGCAAAGAAAGCCACAATGTAGCTGATGAGAGCAAGAAATCCCATATATCCTAAAATATAATAGAACATGTTCCCTGATCCTTCATTGCATTCAACTACAATCTCTTCTGGAAGAGAATGCATGTCCAAATTTGGGAAAGGAGGGCCAGTGCACAGCCACAATATGCAAATACTTGCTTGAATGCAGGAACAATAGAGAATCAGAGAGTATGAAAATCTTTTCCCCACCCATTTTCTCAATTTTGATCCTGGCTTAGTAGCCATAAAAGCTAGAACCACTGTGATAGTTTTGGCCAAAACTGAAGAGACAGCAACTGAGAAGATTATCCCAAATGCAATTTGACGAAGAAGACAGGTCAGCAATTGGGGCTGACCAATGAACAGCAAGGAACAGAGGAAGCAGAGGAAGAGGGAGACAAGGAGAAGATAAGTGAGATTCCGGTTGTTAGCTTTGACAATGGGAGTATTTCGATGTTTTATGAAAATTCCAAGTACCACCACTGTGGTCACAGAAAACGAGAGAGCCAGAGCAGCCAAAGTGATGCCCAAAGTTTCATTGTATGACAAGAAATTTAGATCCTTGGGAATGCACGTATTTTTTTCCTTGTTTGGATATTGTTCTTCTGGACAGTCTAAGCAGTCATCCATATCTGTGAAAATAGATATTCAGAATTCATAGCAGTATTTCATATTTTGTCTATTTGACTGAGAAGTATTTATTAATTTAAAACATCTTATGTCATAAAACAGGCATGAACAACTATGCGCAACAATTCTCATCATTTATTGCCTTTGTTGCCTTCGCTAAAAGCATACAAAAATATACTTCAGCAACATTAACACAGATTCACACCTCTGTTAAAGAGATCCCTATTAAATCTTGCTTTTGGAGAGCTCAGCTAGAATGGATCTCTCATGAATACTGAGAGTGACTTATATGTGTGTGATAACTGTCTCAGTGTGATATGTCTATGTGTGTCTTTATGGATACACTCATTTGCACACACACACAAACATTACAATACCATATTTCCTACCTCTTTCATTTGAAAACTTTCTTGATGGACAAGTATTACAATCGTAGCAACAAAATGGCTTCCCTTCCTTCCTTTTCTTTCTGGAGCCTGGTGGGCAATGATCATTGCACAGAGCAAGAGGTATAGTCTATTCATTAATGAGAGAGAGAAATATATTTTATTCCCTTGAATCCAACCATTTTCAGAGATCAATACATGCATCATAAACTTCTGAGAAATATTCATTAGTTTGTGTGTGTGTGAGTGTTTGTGTAGATATGTACATATTTAAGAAAGAACCGATCCAAAATAGCATGTATTATTGATGGACCTTACCCTCACTTTGAATAATATTTTTCATCACTAATATGTCACCATAATTTACTGTATGTGATTACAGTATCATTGTCATTATTCTGAATTGCTTGAGACTGAGGACTTCAGGGGTCCTCAATCTATACCATCGTGAAGTGAATATATACATATTACTGTAATCTTACAGTAAAGGTAGTGTTAGTACTAACGGAACTGGTTTCTTCTCTGAACGATCTCCAAGGTCTGACAGGTGGCTTCACACTATAAACTTCAACACTTTTAGATGTCCATTTAATATCACAAGACAAGTAGAAAAGGGGGGATTTAATTGCTTGCATCACTCTGTCCCTTTCTCCATTGCCACTGAAGAAGCTCCTGAGTACTTTAATTAAAGCACTGGAAGAATATAGATAATGGGGGACTGTGTGTACATGTGTAGAGAATCCACAATAACCCCCCAAAAAGCTAATTATATAAATGGCCCAGAGAAGTCAACTATCATCCTGTACCCTGGAGCTGACATGCCAAGTATATTTGCCTCAGGTAATTGGAAACCTAATCTTGCGTAGCTTCTTTTCTGGTAATGTTGTATTACTAACTAGAGCATTCAAAACATTTGCTAGACCAATTCTTGAATACAGCTCATCTGTCTGGAACCCACACTGCATATTGGACATTACTACAATCAAGAGAGTCCAGAGATGTTTTACGAGAAGAGTCCTCCATTCCTCTACCCGCAATAAAATACCTTATGCCACCAAACTCCAAATTTTGGGCTTAGACAACTTAGAACTACGCTGACTTCAGTCTGACCTAAGCATAGTACATAAAATTATCTGCCACAATGTCCTTACTGTCAATGACTACTTCAGCTTCAACCACAACAATACACGAGCAAATAATAGATACAAAGTCAAGGTAAACCGCTCCAAACTCGATTGCAGAAAATATGACTTCAGTAACAGAGTGGTCAATGCCTGGAATGCACTACCTGACTCTGTAGTTTCTTCCCCAAACCCCCAAAACTTTAACCTTAACCTGTCTACTGTTGACCTCACCCCATTCCTAAGAGGTCTGTAAGGGGCGTGCATAAGTTCACCAGCATGCCTACCGTCCCTGTCTTAATATTCCTTTTTACTTACTCTTTTCATGTATTCAAATTATGTTTCTACTTTTACCTGTTATCTTATATATGCTTGATAAAAATAAACTTATGAAACTTATATTAACTTACATATTAAGAAGTCACCTTGACAAGAGTCCTTCCTTTTGTGGCTTGAAAGGATTACCATGGTTGAAGCTAGAAGGATGGCCTAAAAGCTAGACAGGTAATAAAAATTCATCTCCTCAATCAGAGGTATTAAGATACACAGTAGAACCTTGGGACAACCAAGCATTTCCTCAGTTTGAAAGGTCTCCATTTTTGTGCAGAAAAAAAGAATGGAAGCCATCTGTTTGTTTGTTTTTTCAATTCTTCCCCTTGCAAACTAGCTTTGCAAATCCAAAAATTTCCCGAATAGGATCAACAACTTAAAGTTTGTTGTCTTCCAGACACTTAATATAAAAGTACTAGGGATCAGTGGTGGATTTCAAATTTTTTTACTACCAGTAAAAACCTGTGGGTGTGGCTTGATGGGCATGGCATGGCTTGGTAGGCATGGTTTGGTGGGCGTGGCAGGGGAAGGATACTGTAAAATCTCCATTCCCACCCCACTCCAGGGGAAGGATACTTCAAAATCCCCATTTCATCCCGATCAGCTGGGACTTGGGAAGCAGAGGATAGATGGGGGCAGGGCCAGTCAGAAGTTTTACTACCGGTTCTCCGAACTACTCAAAATTTCCACTACCGGTTCTCCAGAACTGGTCAGAACCTGCTGAAACCCACCTCTGCTGGGGATCCTTAATTGCTGAAAAGAGATCTTCCAATACATAAAATATTAGTATCTCTACCTCTCGCCAGGCTTAAGTCTAAGAAACCAATTTGAAATAACACACCACAGTCTTACAATCTAGATGAAGATGGCCAACTTTTAATAACTACAACCAAACAGAACACACAGATCCAACAAAACCACTTCTAGGAGTGCAGTTTCCCCCCAAAATATGCAGCCATCTGAATAGAATCAGGACAGGCAAAGCTCTTTAGGTAGGGAATAGCTGGGAGTCTGCAATGTGACTGTGGTGCAGACTGCAAACTATATCACAAAATTCAAAAATGTCTCCTCAGGCAACAAACTATAACACATACAGTTCAAGAATGCCTCCTCGGGAAATTTCAAGGTACCTGGGATGATCTCATCACAGCCATGCCAGAAGCAGTTACATGGTTAGCTCTTTTAGATATCAAATTACAACATCTATTCCATTGCAAATTTATGGGTCCATATTGTGGTGATACCTGTTTAAAATGGGCCTGCCATGTGATTTTTCTTTCGTTGATGGTGAACCTTCTGCCTGATGGGGCTTCAGGATCCATTTGTCCCACTTTCACTTTCATGAAGGATTTGTTAGGGAAAGTAACCCAGTTGATAATGTCAAATCCAGCTAGCAATTCATGCTTCTTGTCAAAAGACACCTTGTCTCCAGCACTGTTGTTAAAGGAAATTCGACTTAGGAAATGATAAAGCTGGAATAAATGAAGTTTTGACAAGTATTACCATAGTGGTGAAACCAGTGAAAATTGTTTGGCTTGGATTAACAATTTGCTATTCCAGCGATGGCTAAACTTTTTGCCATCGTGTGCCAGGAGCGGGGAGGAGGGGTATCATGCATGCCCACACCCATAATTCTATGTGCCCCGCCCTTATGCATACACGTGTGATCCCCCCAAGCTCTTCCCGCTCCTGGCACGTGATGGCCTGGTAGGCCCATTTTTCTCTCTCACCAGGCAAAGAGTCTTTTTAGGAGTCAGGGGAGGGCAAAAACGGCCTTCCTTACCACCCCGGAGGCCCACCGGAGGCTGGAAATGGCCCATTTTCAACCTCTGGAGAGCCTGCTGGGGTGGGGAAGACCATTTACACCCTCCCCAGACTCCTAGAAAGGCTCTGGAGCCTGGGGACAGCAAAAAATGGGCCTTCTGGTCCCAGTGGAAATTGGCAAATAGCCCATTTCTGGCCTCTGGGGGGCCTTCGGGGGGGAGACCTTTTCGCCCTCCCCAGACTCCTAGAAAGGCTCTGGAGCTTGGGGAGAGAAAAAAACAGGGCTTCCCCACCTTCCCCCAAGGCCCTCCGGAGGCAGGAAACAGCCTGTTTCTCTACTTCTGGTGGACCCAGAAGGCGCAAAAATCAGCTGAGCTTGCGTGCCCAATGATATGGCTACGTGTGCCACCTGTGGCATGCGTGTCATAGGTTCACCATCATGGTGCTATTCTCTGAAGCTATTTAATTGTTTCATCACTTCATTATTGGTGGTTCCATAATTTCCTTCCCCAATCAAATATTTCAGTTCAGCTCAGTTTTTAAAAAGGATACTAAGAATTATTAGATAATGTGTTTCAAATGGACATACTAACATTTCTTTTGGCTTTGAAATATCCTGGTATACCTGTGTCACTGATGGGAATCCAAGTATTTCAAAGCTAAGGTTTACTATCTGCCAGGGGAAGAGTACTACTACTGAATTACATTTATATGCTGATTTTCTCCCAGTGACTCCCAGTGGATTTAAGATTGTTGCAGCATCAACACAGTCAAGTGATCAGAATTTGGACATTTGGCACCTGGTATGTAGTTACAACAGTTGCAATGTCCTGGGGTCATGTGATTACCATTTGTGACCTTCCCATCCAGCTTTTGACAGCAAAGTCAATGGGAGAACCTGGATTTACTGAATGATCATGTAATTGATTTAAAAACTATAGTGACTCACTTCCTCTCTGCATTTGGGAATGTGCAGTAATGCATTATCAAACAGAATAGAACTGGAAGTGACCTTGGAGGTCTTCTAGTCCAGCCCCCTGCTCAAACAGGATACCCTATACCAGGGGTCCTCAAACTACGGCCCGCGGGCCAGATACAGCCCACCGAAACCATTAATCTGGCACACGTGGGACCACAAGGCTGCCCCGCCCACATCACCCCACCTACCCACTGGCCCCCACCCACCTTCTAGAGGCTGGGAAGGCCAAAAATGGGATGCGCAGAGGCCTCAGGAGGCCAAAAACATCCCGTTTTTGGCCTCCCCTGCCTCCAGGGAGAGGGAGGGAGAGAGAGAAAGACACACACACACACACACACACACACAAACAGAAGTCCCTCACACACCTCCCCCCAAGGCAGCCACATTCCTTCACTAACCTGCTTTCCACCCCCAGGAGCATAACAAATTAAAGTTTAATTTGTGTGTATTGTTTAATGGACCGCTAAATTGGCCACGTCCACCCAGTCACATGACCACCTAGCCATGCCCACCCAACTGGTCCAGCCCCCCAACAGTCTGAGAGACCGTGAATTGGCCCACTGTTTAAAACGTTTGAGGACCCCTGCCCTATACCATTTCAGTCAAGTGACTGTCCAATCTCTTCTTAAAAACCTGCAGTGATGAAGCACCCACTACTTCTGAAGGCAAGCTGTTCTACCTGTTAATCGTATACAGAATGAGAATCCTTCTTTATATAAATGAAGACAACATTAACAACATTGACGCATCAAAATTAATCTGCCTCCTAGATGCGACATTACCTGAAAATACTGTGATTTAGAAGTCCTTGGGTAATTTTTCATCAACACCGCTCCATATTTCCTTCTGGATGAATAAAAGGCATGCAAAGCATGTGTCACAGCATAGACAGCATTATAAACACTGTAGCTTTGACTGGTCATGCTCATTTCAAAAAAAGGCCGTGGAAGGCTTTCCAGTCTCTCATTGCCAGTACAGCTTCCTTTGTCTGTTGCAGAAGCTGGAAACGAGCATTTAAATGCTTGTTCCCAGAAGACTCTGATAAAATGATCGGTCAGAGAACGGGGGTCCTGAAATAGAAGGAAATTCTGAAATGTTGACATCTCCGAGGTGTGACTTGCAAAGGACAAGGCACCGTGGAAGATCTGCATGTTTAAATTGTTTAAAAAGGGCTCCACTGAAAAATCCCAATGGGCTGTCATCACCCATACTTTCTGCACAGGCAGCATCATGTCTGATTCGGCAAGATTGAGCACTATCTGCAAATCTAACATCATGTGAGCATCAGCACTTATAATACAGACATTGACGTTTGCCTTACTCAGCAACAGGGCCATTTCCCTAAACATGTCATTGAAATTAACCACGCCTAAAATGTTGCTTTGAAGCGGCATTCGTTCAGAGAAGGCAGTGCAGATTCCATTATCGGAAAAGTTTTTCTCCAAGATCTGCACAAATGTTTCTCCTTTATCGTCATCCATGGCCATGATCCCAATCCACTTCCATTGAAAATGAAGCAATAGTTGGACTATTCCTGTATACTGATGCGCTTCATTAGGTACCATGCGGTATAAGAAAGACGGGTGGCTTATATCATTCACTGGCGGACTGTATAAACAATAGGTGACCTAAAGGAGAACGTAATTTCATTCATAATAGAGAAATATAAAAATATCTACAAGATCAAGCACTTTTTCTGTAATGCTAGTTCTTTTTCTCAGTTTTAGAGTCTAAAATTGCCTTCTCTTCTCCACTTTAACTTCCCAAAAGTGTAGCGAAATAAAAAAAAAAGTTGGCAGTTATCCCATGTTGAAGCTCAGTCAAAATATTTCATGTCTGACTCAGATATTATTTTCTCTTTATTTGCAACCTATTGTCTTCCCTGTCTTTTCTTGGTTTTGGAATAAGCATTAAAATAAGATCCAAATAGATATATTCTATTTAGGATATTTTGCAATGTATCAATCATTTTATATTTCACTTCATCATCTTTACATCTTAGGATCACAGATATGAACAAGAAGATATGAAGAGTTGCTGTGTTGGTGAGAGGGGCAGCATATACATTTAGTAAACCAATCAATAAATAACGAACAAATCAATCTTCAAATCCCCTTCTGTGGTCTAAAGCAGTGGTCCCCAACCCCCGGTCCGCGGACCGGTGCCAGGCCGTGGAGTACCTGGCACCGGGCCGCGCAGCGGCCGGGGGACATGAACGCTGCAGCGCAAAGGCTCCTGGGCCGTGCGCAAAAGCTCCTGGGCCGTGCGCAATGGGCCGTGCGCAAAAGCTCCTGGGCCGTGCCCCCACCCCTGCGCGCGCTCAGCGGGCCGCGGCGATAAAAAGGTTGGGGACCACTGGTCTAAAGCATTGGTCACCAACTGGTGGTCTGTGAGAAAATTATGGTGGTCCGCAGAAAAAATATTTGCATTTTTTATATTGCACTAAATTAGGGATCCTCAAACTATGACCCCTGGCCAGATACGTGCAAAGAACACTGGTGTTACTGCAGAGAGTCTCCCTCTTCAGGGTCTTTTTGTGTGGGTTGGAGGGGGGCAGAAATTCCAACTTGGGGTTTGTTTCAGCCTCCTGGTGCAGGGTTTTGGGCAAAGGCTGGAGGGAAGTGCCGCTGGTGGCAAGGAACCGGAGGACCTTGTTCCAGTGGGACTGCATCATAGCCTGCAACTGACTGACCATCTTAGCCCGCTGAGCCTCCAGGTGCCAGTACCTGGCCTTGCACTCCTGCAAGTCTTATTTATTCATTTATTTATTAAATTTATATGCCGCCCCTCTCCGGAGACTCAGGGTGGTTCACAATACAGTCTTCCTTCTGCTTGGAAAGCCTATGCTTCTAATCCTCAGTGAGGTGCTTCTGCTGAGCCTCCTTCTCGGTCAGATCCAATTTGAACTGATCCAGCTGTTTTGCCAACTCTTTCTCGCGGTGGCTGCTTAGCTCCAACAACTGCTTCCTATTGGGGCCCTAAGGAGCCCAGGCAGGAAGGTGAGGAGTGGCTGGCAGGAGAGGGGTGAGTAGAGGCCGGTGAGGTGAGTGACATGTGACTTTTATGTGAGTGACATTGAGTTGGTCATGCCCACCCATGACCACATGACCACCTAGCCAAGCCCACCCAGCCGGTCATTAGGCAGATCATATTAGTGGTCCGTGGGATTTAAAATTATGAATTTAGTGGTCCCTGAGATCTGAAAGGTTGGGGACCCCTGGTCTAAAGTCATCCTCAGAGATCTTGGTATAATCTCTAAAGAAGTGACAGATGCTTAGTTTTCCATAGTAATAGATATCTGGATCTACTTTACTATCTTTCATGCAGGAAGCAAACATGCTTTTTTCTTCTCCTAAGCATTTCTTAAAATATTAATGGTCTGGTGCCATATTTTAAAATTATATATATTCCCTCTAGTTTATTTTTGATATAGCAATCTATGTGTTATTTAAAATATTAATTGTGAATTTAGAGTGTTTTAAACCACGTTGAGAAATTTGGCGGCTTGCTTGTATCGCACACATGGCACATCTGCTTACGTTTTCATCTAAATTCTGTCTTAATTATGGAGTGAAATATTTTAGTATTTCACCTAGTATGAAATCACAATCCATATACTCATCCCGTGCTCCTGTATGTCTGCCATTAATAATTCATACAACATAACTTTTTTTTTTAATTAGATAAGAGAAGCTGGAATTATCAGAGATATCTATCTCCACTGCTCTCTATTTCCCTCTATTAAGTATCCTGAGACTGTGGGGAAATTAAATTTTGTTGTCTTCATCCTCTCCAACAAATTTATTTATCCCAGTGGTATTTAATTACAGCCATGTTTAGTTTGCTTTCCACTAAATGCCTGGCAAACAAAAGAAGCTAATGAATATTAAAGAACCAAAAATTTAAACCATCTAAAACAATTGTCATTCTGTTCCTTGGAATGATGACACTTATAGCCGTGAAACCAGGTCAAAGCATCAAAGTTGTAACTGTACTACTGATAGCACAAATTCAGTGAAATCCTGAGTGAAGAGAGATACCAATGTTGACAACTAATTGTAAATGATAAGAAGCTTAAAATAAAGATGCTCACAAACTTGTTGACTTCACAAACACACTATGTTATTTTCCAACTCACAATATGGAAGTAATTTAGGAATACCTTCTCCTGGAATTTTGTTTCTTTCTAGTCTAATCTGTAGACTATATTAGATCACCAAGATTAGACTGCCTTTGTAATCACCTACGTAAATGCCAACCTGGTCTAATCCATATATTACACCATTTCATTTGCGAAGAATCTATGTTAAGCAGAAAACAGAAAAGGAACAAGCAGTAAATCAAGGAAGTTAAAGATATGAAATAAGAAGAAAAAAATAAATAAAAGAAAAGACAGCTAACCCTAGTTTACATCATTACTACCCTGTTTCCCCCAAAATAAGACATCCCATGATAATAAACCCAATCGGGCTTTTTAGCGCATGGCAATAAGGCCAAGCACTTATTTCAGGGTTCAAAAAAAATATAAGACAGGGTCTTATTTTCGGGAAAACACTGTATCTATATACTACTAAAGCTCTTGTGTCTGTAGAGTGGGTGAAACAGTTCATCAGAGAGCAAAACATTTGAACCAATGTGCCTCAAAGGAGCTAACTTGTGAAATGCATCCAGAAACTGGGACCTATGAGTCCTGTAGAATTAACATTTGGCAAATTTTATAAAATGTTTTAATGACATAAAAATGATCATAAACTATTTTGTAGATGTAAAACAAAGTGTCATAAAACATTTTCTGTGATCAGTTGCTGATGTTTGACCATGGTATGCAGTTCAAATTATGCTGTTTTTCAAATAATCCCAAATGCATCCCTCCTTTCTTGACCCTCTCTTGTTATTATAACACATAATATTATAACACATAATTCTTAAGTATTCAATTCTCATTGCATTCAACTGACTTTTACGGTTCTTCTAACGTGTCTAATTCTCTGTTACATAGCAAAATGTGGAGAACATAGTACTTTTTACTTCCTTTAAAAAGAGACATTTAATTAGTTCACAGCACCTACAAGCTGTTCTAATCATGAACTGACTCCATGTAACTTATAGTTTTCTCCCTTCCTAGACATGGGTTAAATCAAACCACCACCACCCGCAAAAAAATACACCATGTATTCCTCACAACAGATTGCATATTACCACGGCATCATTAATCTGCATTAATACATCTTCTTTTTCCATTTTATTAGTCATATTTTTATGCCGCCCACTCTCCGAGGACTCTGGGTGGCTTACACCAAAGACAGTATACTAAATAGCATATTGCCCCCAACAATCTGGGTCCTCATTTTACCCACCTCGGAAGGATGGAAGGCTGAGTCAACCTTGAGCCAGTGAGATTTGATCCGCTGATCTGCGGAACTAGCAGTCAGCTGAAGTAGCTGCAGTACTGCACTCTAACCACTGCGCCACCTCGGTTCCATCCATTTTCCCATCTCTAGTTAACAACCCATGAAGTACACAAACATTTCTCTACTTGCTCTAATTTTTCACTATTTATGCTTAACTAATAATTGTTCCTTTTCTTTTCCCTGCTTACAATCTAAGATCAGTCAGTGTCAAATAAATGCTGGCTGCCTACAACATAATTAAAAGGAAGCCTTCTTGTGATCATGTTTATCTATTAAGTAAGTTTAAGAGATTTTTTAAATGTGTGACTGATTTATTGTGTACAACACCCAGATTACTTGTGTGATTTAATGGCATTGAGAGGAAGGAATGTGGAGAACCAAAGGAACTGAGAGAAAGAAAAGAAAAAAGAGAACAGTTAAGGGCACGATAAATAGACAAAAGGGCAAGAAGATTATCATCACATTAAAGAGAATGGTTACATTGTGAGAACTAAAACATGATTCCTGTTTAGAAGAATGAACTTTTGTCCTTCCAACAAGGAACCACTTATATCCATATCATCCAACCATAACTAGTATAATTAAATCAGGTTTTAAGTGATTCACCTTCATAAACACATTTACCTCAACCCAAATGAGAGAAATAATGCAATAACTCTCTTCCTGCCTAAAATATCACATTACCAGGGAAGGCAAATGAAATTGCATTACCAGAAGAAAAAAAGGGAGGATCACATATATTTTGTGGTGCTGGCAAAGAGATCTTAAACCTCTTTGTATTCCCCAAATAAACTTGGTACAAGTCATGTTACTCCTGTTCAAACCAAGCTAAATCACTGTAGACAAAATGTAAATAATAAGATGAAGATATTAATTTTCTTAATAAATTCAAATACTTGCTTAATAAATGTAGTAAGTTTCTTAGGAAGTTTTTAGAATATCAATTTGAAGTCCATCCATCTTAAAATTGTCAAGAATCATATACACTGTAGTAGACAATATGTTCCTAAACAAATAGATGTGTGATCCACCTTACCTGCGGAATCTTGTAGATCCCTAAAATAGTAGCTATGTGGAGGGAGGTTTCTGAGTCAGTACCCCCAATGACAGCTGCTGGTATCTTCTTGCTGCAGTTGTAGTTGAGAAGAGTTGGTTTCTGATTAAAGAGCAAGTTCAGCGTGTTCTGATAAGTTATCTGGGCATCAAAGTGGCTATCATAGATATGAAATCCCACAGTCCGATTGGGTAAGATCATGCTGTTTCCATTTATTTCATTCACCGCAAACGCCAAGGCTAGGGTGTGCTGATATTTTTTCAGCATTACACTAAAGTAAAAGAAACATCTTGAGTAAATCATGAAGTTCTATGTTGTGAACATTCCCTTACCATTCCTGCAAGAGGCAATCTCCATTAGAATTCCATTAGAATTTTGTGGTGGAGAATATTGGAAAATGTGAAACTTGACACTTAGATGCTATAGACCACTGCATACCAGAACAACTAGACACAAGAACAGTTTTTTCCTGAGCACCATCACTCTGCTAAACAAATAATTCCCTCAACACTGTCAAATTATTTACTAAGTCTGCATTACTATTAATCTTCTCATCATTCCTATCACCCATCTCATCTCACTTATGACTGTATGACTGTAACCTTGTTGCTGGAATCCTTAGCATTTATATTGACTGTTTTGTAATATGATTTGATTGCTTATTTGTTCCCTATGACTATCATTAAGTGTTGTATCTTATGATTCTTGATGAATGAATCTTTTCTTTTATGTACACTGAGAGCATATGCACCAAGACAAATTCCTTGTGTGTCCAATCACACTTGGCCAATCAAGAATTCCTATTCTATTCTATTCTATTCTATTCTATTCTATTCTATTCTATTCTATTCTATTCTATTCTAGAATTAATTTATCTTTAACTAGAAGAATAGCTTGATTTGCTTGTAATGGATCTAACCTTCTCTAATCCTTCTAAGGGAGAAGTCCATTTTCAGAGAAAATATGCTTAGAAAAAAATGCAAGTCTTTTACACTGCAAAAGAAGCTAAATATCACTTCATTAAAGTATGCAATAAAACTTTCCAATGATGGATCAGAGAAAAATGGACCTTACTGGAGAGACTTTTCCCCAATGAAATTTTTGGTAGGATGTCTATGGGAATAAATAATGCTATGTATATAATGGCAAGAACTTTAAGCAACAAAAGATTAAGACAAGACTGACTTTTCCCCTTCTCATAATCAAATGTAGCATGTCTTACTGACTGATTTGATCCAATCAGATGTTAAAGATCAGAATAAACTCAGAGCATACAAGGAGATCTGGCAATATCAAAAAATCATAGAGCCAGCCGAGAAGCTTAGGTCCAACTGCTTGCTCAGTGCTGCAGCTTTAATTTAAGACAAATGATTGGATTAAACCCAAGAGCAATAAGATAGCAATCGCTGGGATGAAAAATAACATGTGTTTTAGATCTGGCCACTATATCAATCTCCCATTTTCTATTACCAGAAGAGCAGAATAAATGGATGTAGGAGTAAAATTAATCTGATTTCTTGAATGTATGTCATGTTGCTAAAAGCATATCAGTGGCACTGCCAGGAAATAACCAAGTATTACAGAAATCAATGAGGTTTTCCTTACACAGGTTCAACATCACACTTGGGTGTAGGGTGTGAGCTGAAGTCTGCTCCTTCAGAAAAGGAGAAAAGCTGTGAAATTATCCCACCAATTATCACATCACCTGGCTGAAAATATTGATATTGCACTTTCAGAGACTCAGGAATGGTACACACTGCTGGAGATATCCCACAATCTGTTGGTGGCAGCAGCAGCAAACACACAAGAAGTCTCAGGGACAAGAAGGACCCTCTCATGCAGCAGGAAAAATTGTCCCTTAATTTAAGATCTCCTACTCCTACTTTGATCATCATCATTCAGCTGTTTAGTATGCCATGGTCTTTATGATTCTGGATTCTGGATCCTACCACTAAATGCATACACACTGATCTGCTGAATCCATGGATGGATGAATACATACATACATACATACATACATACATACATACATACATACACACACACACACACACATACTAACCCACCCTTTGATCAGTTCACGAGTTATATACCTGTATGCAATTAGAATGGAAAAGTATTTTTTCCCTGCTTTGAGAGTAATGATAATCACCTTCGATAATCATAAGGTGTTTTTCCAAAACACTGAAGTCAGCAAATTCTCAGAGGTAACTCCTCCTCCTTTTTTCCCCTCCTCCTCCTCCATCACTGCTTTGTGCAAAACAATGATTGTTTTGTAGAAAGTACTAGAGCTCCTGAACAAAAGGAAGGCTACAGATTAGATTTATTAGAAATATAATCATATATATATATATATATATATATATGATATGTTAAATATATATAAATATTATATGTATTATTGTTTTAGCACTGGCTTTTTCCTACATAAATCAAGATGTTTATATATGTAGGAAAAACGCTGGCTAAAACAATAATACACATATAAACCTATGAAAAAAGAACAAAATAAATATTTATATAAATATACATCTATATAATAGTTTAATGAAAAGAACGACTAGAGGAGACATGATAGCAGTGTTCCAATATCTCAGGGGCTTTCACAAGACATCCATCTGAAGACCTGGTTGATGAGTTAATGTAAAGACTTTTCTTTTTAGCTGTAGCATGTCTCAAACCAGATATCTTTCTCTAAGAAGATGCCTGGAATGAGTTAATTAGTGGTATTGCTTGCAGCACAAATTATTTCTCCTGGTTGCTTCATTCTTAAGCTAATAGAAATGGATTTCCACTGATAAATTTTACCTGGCAAATAAATTACAAACACACATACATGTGCACATGTTTAAGGCAGATCTCACCCCAGTGCTTTTGTTCAAATTCTATATTGGGCTTTTCTCATTTTCTTTCTGTGGAATGAATTTTTTCACCAGTGCTTTACTGGTGAAACACTGTTTATAGCTAATTGAATGTCAACCTCTAACAGTTTAATTTTTCTGCTGAATATTAGGGAACAATGGCACTACGTAGTGCTTTTAATTTGTTTGTTCAGCATGTAGGAGTACAAATGTAGGGCTGCCCCAATGAAACAATTACATCTTTTCCTAGGAGAAGGGATTCCAGAAAGAGATGTTCCATACATAATTTGTATGGAACATATGAAGAACAGTTGCAGGAATTGGATATATCTAGTTTAATGAAAAGAAGTGTCAGGTGTGCTTCCTTCAAAGTCCAGGAAAGAATGACCCAAACTCCATGATTTATAGAGAAAGATACTTTTACTAGAAAATGAAGTGAACGCAACCAAAGAAAGCTGAAATTAAAGGCAATAGGCGCGAAAATTGCATATAGAAAGCATCTCCTCCCACTGTCCATCATAAATCATCCAATCCAAAGGTCTCCCAGGGGTCAGGTGGAAGCACGTCTGGCAGCGTCATCAATCAGGAATGCCACGACGGTTGACCCAATAGCAACTTCAAAGATTCAGTTTCGTTTCTTTCAAAGTCCTCCAGCACGCTTCCCCCCACCAGGCCCCCTAGCTCTCCCCCCTCCCATTTCTTATGGCAGCCAGAGCAGTAAAAGCGGAGGCTGACAAGAAGGACTAGTGGTGACATGTTAGCCTCAAATGAGACCGATCACTGTTGTGTCATCTGCGAACTTCAATAGTTTAACAGATGGATCGTTAGAGATGCAGTCATTGGTATATAGAGAGAAGAGAAGTGGGGAGAGCACACAGCCTTGGGGGGGGGCTGTACTAATTGTACAGATACCCGATGTGATTCTGCTTAGCTTCACCTGCTGCTTCCTGTTTGTTAGGAAGCTTATGATCCACTTACAAGTGTGTTCAGGTAACTGTAGCTGGTTTAGCTTAGTTAGAAGAATGTCTGGAATGATGGTATTGAATGCTGAACCGAAGTCTACAAAGAGGACCCTTGTGTAGGTCTTTGGAGATTCAAGATGTTGTAGGATGTAGTGCAGAGCCATATTAACAGCATCATCTGTTGATCTATTTGCTTGGTATGCAAATTGCAAGGGGACTAACAGCGGATCCGTGATGGTTTTCAAGTGGGACAGCACTAGTCTTTCAAAGGTTTTCATGACTACAGATGTTAGAGCAACTAGTCTGTAGTCATTCATCATGGCTCATGAATTAATTAGGGCATCTTTCGGAAACTTGACACTTGCAAGATTGTGGTTTCATAGTCTGGATTACCTCAAATGATTGACATCAATCTTTCCCACCTAAAAGTGCTTCCCTCCTCAGCTGCTTTTACATTGCAATGAATTAGGGAGAATCAATTCTGAGATGGTTATAACATTTCCTAAATGAGATGGTTATAACATTCTTCTTTCAATTGTTTTTATTAAAGTCTATTATATGATAAAATATTTAATAGATATTTTTGATATCAAAAAGGTAAAGAAAAACAAAGATAAAGTCAAGAAAAATCAAGAAAGAAAAAGTAAAAGAAAAAGAAAAGAAACAAAGGTATAGAAAGAAAAATAAAAACCAGTGGTTTCTGATTTTTTTATTGTATTTTTATAAATTTTCATTCATAAACATTTTTGAAAAACAGTGCATTGTCAGAGTATCATTTACAAATAGAACAAAGCCAAAGAAAGTTGGTAGTAAATATTAACACACAAATTAATAGCCATAGTGATAATATAATAGCAGTAATAATAATATAACCAAAAAGTTTAAACTAGGTTTTTTCTTACATTAGCTTATTTACATTTTGATCAATTACTATGTTTATAGTTATATACAGTACCTCTTTATTTTCAATATTGATAATATTAACATTCATAATCTTACTTTCTCTAATTTCTACCTCTTTTCTCTATCCATTCATAAAATTTATTCCATATCCGATAGTATTCTGAATGTTCTTTATCTTTAATTTTTAAAGTTAGTCTGTCCATTTCAGCACAGTCCCAAATTCTTCTAATTACATCCTCATCTGATGGGATGTTCATATTTTTCCAGTATTTAGCATATGTGATCCTTGCTGCTGTCAGTATATGTAACACTAAATTTTTGGTCGCTTTATCATAACCCTCGAATAGTATATCTAAGAGGCATGTTTCTGGTTTAAACTCAATATTTTGTTCAGTTATCATTTCTAGCCAGTTATGTATGTTCTTCCAATCTTTTCTTCCTTTACCACATGTCCACCACATATGGTAGTAGGTGCCTGGGGTCTAATTGCATTTCCAGAATTTGGCGGATAGTTTACTGAACATTTTCTCCAATCTGTAAAACATTTTGTATAGGGTCAACTTGTCTATGGCTTTTTGGATCAGTCATTTTTTAATGTGCTTCCAAGAATTCATCAGGGTTGGAGCCAATATTCTATTGTTCCAGAGAATTCCATCTTTAAAGGCACAGAATTAGCAAAATGTTTTCTTAAATGATATGTTTTATTGCAATTGGTTTTTTTCCTTATAGCTCCTATATAATTGTCAGTTATGGGCCCTTTGGTTCTGAGCCCATAGATATCATCATTCTATTCCTTACTCAAAATCTCTAAGGAGCTTCACTGAACATCCATCAATTTCTCTTATAATTACCAGCAGAGTCTCAGTAATGAAACTTCTTCTCAAATCCTTAGGGATGTCCAAGGGACAACCCCCCAAAGCAGGTAAAGACTGAAAGGTGCTATTATTTGTGGAACCAGAGGGCTAGAAATGTCACAATCTGAAAAAGAATATATATGCAGACTATTCTAAATAATGAAAGGTTTTTTTTTTTAATGTTTCATTGTTGCAGAGGGAACTGGTTCATATCTGGTGATGAAAATGTTCTTGAAAAAGATGGTATTCTCCATTGCAATAAAAGCAGTCCTACTGCCAGGGGTTGCATGCCTTATTTCTCATACTTCTCGCAAAGCATGTGCCGTGGGAAAACTTCCATTTGTTAAGCATAAGTATTTTCTGCCAGGAGATTTCACGATAGCTGGGATAATCTCTGAGTTCTACACGATGTCTGATCAAGTGGGTTTCACAAGACATCCATCTGAAGAACTGGTTGATGAGTTCATGTAAAGACTTTCTCTTTTTAGCTGTAGCATGTCTCAAACCAGATATCTTTCTCTAAGAAGATGCCTGGATTGAGTTAATTAGTGGTATTGTTTAAAGAACAAATTATTTCTCCTGGTTTCTTGCTGGTTAGTTCCTTCATTCTTAAGCTAATAGAAATGGATTTCCACTGATAAATTTTACCTGGCAAATAAAATACAAAGTCACATACATATGTACATGTTTAAGGCAGATTTCACTCCAGTGCTTTTGTTCAAATTCTATATTGGGCTTTTCTCATTTTCTTTCTGTGGAATGAATCTTCAGCGCTCTACTATTGAAACACCATTTATAGCTAATTTAACAGTTTAATTTTTCTTCTGAATATTGGGGAACAACGCCACTATGTAGTACTTTTAATTTGCTAGTTCAGCATATATGGAGTACAAATGTAAGGCTTCCCCAATGAAACAGTTACATCTTTTCCTAGGATAAGGGATTCCAGAAAAAGAGTTCCATACATCATTTGTATGGAATATATGAAGAACAGTTGCAGGAATTGGGTATATCTAGTTTAATGAAAAGAAGGACATGTTAGCAATGTTCCAATATAAGAGGTGCTGCCACAAAGAAGAGGGGTCAACCTATTCTCCAAAGCATCTGAATGTAGGACAAGAAGCGATGGAAAGTAATCAAGAAGAGAAGCAACTTAGAACTAAGGAGAACTGTCCTGACAGTGAGAGCAAGTTATCAGTAGAACAATTTGCCTCCAGAAGTTCTGGATGCTCCAGCATTGGAGCTTTTTAAGAAGAGATTGGATAATCATTTGTCTGAAATGGCACAAGGTTTCCTGACTTCCAAAGTTCCTTTCAGCTCTGTTATTCTGTTCGCTGTCAAGTAAGGTTTAAAATACATTTTCTCCCTCTATCCGTAAAAATACCCAAGGCAAAGATTAAACAGGTAAAGATACAAGACTTAGAAGTAAGTCTGAGAATTATAGGTAGATCAAAATGTTAATATTAATGTTCCTTCAAGCAATCAATCGGTTTCCTAGTGAATCATTTTTAGAAATCATAACAGCTGGCTTAAAAAAAATAATGTTTTGTCCAAAACCATTTTCATTTCATTGAAAAATAATATTTTAGAACACTCAGATCTCTCTCTCTCTCTCTCTCTCTCAATATGTATGTATGTATGTATGTATGTATGTATGTACAGTATGTATGTATTTATGTGGTTATGCAATTTATACATTATTCCTATCATTCAATCCATTTGTGGGAATAGGAAAAAAAATGTGCTAATGTATTTACATGATTTTTTCTTTCCATGGTACTATGCCATCTCTTTTTTTCTTCTTAGCATTTAGCAGAATTGTAAATAAAGTATACATAATGCCATATTCTTTAAGAGAAGAAATATGATTTGTAATGTATCTGTGTAGATTTTTTCTACAGAACTACCAACATATCCTGGCCTTGGTCTTTGCAGTAAAGGAGATCAATGAAAACAATCACATTTTATTAAACATGACTCTGGGTATGCACCTCTCTAACAGTTATTTCATGGCAAGATGGACCTACTTGGCTTCAATGGAGCTCCTCTCAACACGGGGCAGATTCATCCCCAATTATAAGTGTGATACTAAGGACTGGGCAATATCTGTTATTGCAGGACCTAACTCTCACATCTGTCCCTTCATGGCACACGTTTTGAATGTCTACAAGATGCCCCAGGTAAGATTTGCTCTTCAAATGCCTAGTTAGTTAGAAGAATGTCTGGAATGATGGTATTGAATGCTGAATTAAAGTCTACAAAGAGGACCCCCTGAAAATTGCAGGGGGTCTAACCGTGGATCCGTGATGGTTTTCAAGTGGGACAGCACTAGCCTTTCAAAGGTTTTCATAACTACAGATGTTAGAGCATCTGGTCTGTAGCTGTTCAGTTCCTTGGTGGTGGGCTTCTTCGGCAAATTAAATTAATTTTTTTTTTTATTGAAAAAGTTTTCAAATACAAATTTTTCCGCCCTTTTTTCCCCCCTCCCCTCCCCCTCCCCCTCCCTAACCCCCCCTCCCCACCCATCCCCCCCTGTGACTTCTTCGTAACAAAAAAAACCCTAATTCATAACAGATTACTTACTCCCTCCTCAAAATACTGACCTTTACTTACTAAAAATATTATAAATATTATAACATCCCCCTTTATCCATACTTTTCAGAAAAGAAGAAGAAAAAAAAACATTATACTATAACTATTGTAAAATAACTTCTAATTTAACATAATAATGTTTTATATCTATATATTATAACAACAATTCAAAACCACCTTCCACTTTAAAACTATACGATAAGTCCTACTTTAATATTTAATCTTCTATATATATTACTATAACATTTCAAAGCGGCCTCCCCATAAAATCTAATTTAACATTTATTCCACTCTATCCATTTCCTCCACTCCCCTAAATGTATCACTTAAAAATCCCTTTTCTTAAACTAATCAGTCTGTAGCTAGCTTATTCACCCACTGTCCTGCAAATTTACCGTACACAACAATTCTTAATATCTTTAATTCACTGCCCACACTACTTAAATATATATATATATATATTCCATTATATCTAAATAATAAAAAAAAAAGACAATAACTTTAATTTTATAGTCCATATAATATCTTCTTTGAGGTCTTTCCACTGGATTGTTAAAACCAACATCCATAATAGGGTAACATAGCTTGCTGATGCAACAGTTTATTCAAGATCTTCAATCATATCTGCCCCCATCAGTAGTAAATATCTTCTTATATGTATAAAAGTAAAAACAACCACCCGAGTGACATTATGATTATATTCCATATAATAATAATTGTGGGTTTCATCAGGATTATTGATTTCCATCATCGTAGTGGGTAACAACCGGATCTTCTGCATGCCCCAGCATGATTCTCTTGCCTTATGATTCAAGATAATTATAATATATTTATCAACACAAAAAGAAATTTCAAAGTAGATAATTCAAATCCATCAGTTTGAGGCTCTTTCCACGTCCCAAAATTACGGCAATGCAGAGATCTGCCACTATCCTCAGGATAATATTGACCAATATGTCGCCTCTATGTTTTCACATAATCATTCATATTTTAAAGTCACTGGCTTCACTGTTGCTTGGGTTAAAAATTTCTATTTTTGTACAACCTATTTCTTTTTTTGTTTTCTTTTTGTGGGTTTGACTTCCATCCTGGTTTCCTTTCTACAGATTGTATGTCAACTGGTCGGTTTTCATTCTGCTTTGTAGATTGGTCTTGTTGATTTTGTTTTTGTGTCTCATGTTTCTTTTTTATCCCTTGTATATCCTCTAATTGGTTTCCATGCTTGTCCTTGCCTTGATAAGTCATCACATTAAAATCAGATGGCACTTCTCTCAAATTTGTAGATAATCCAGCTGGGGTATCCGATAAATCCAAAGGCAATTTATCTGGTACAGTCTCTGTAATTCGATATTTTCCCTTTATTTCCAGCTCCTTCTGCTTATCCTGTATTATACCTGAAGATGTTAAATTCATGTTCAACCTATTTTGATAAAATTCTTCCGCTCTTTCAATAATATTTAACTGATATCTTTCTCCTTGATGTCTCAGTATAATACCAACTGGGGCATTCCACCTATATGGGATATTTCTCTTTTTTAACTCAGACACCAGAAAACCAAATTTCTTCCTTTCTGTTAATATCTTTGGTGGGAGTTCCTTGTAGATCCATATCTTTCTTCCATACAATTGCAAATTGGAATTGAAGGAATTTTGCACAATATTATTCCTAATTTCCTTGTCCGTAAAATAAATCACCACATCTCTAGGCAGTTGCCTTTGCTTAGCAATCCAGGAATTTATTCTGAAAACTCTGTCAATCCTACTAAACACTTCATCAGGTTGAACCTTTAGAATCCCAGCTAGAAATTCAGAAGATATTTTCCTTAAATCATCTCTATTATTTTCCTGCAAACCTCGCAGTCTTATCGCATATTCTGTAAAATTATATTGTACCATTAGAACCTCTTGTTCAATCCTCTGTTGCAGATTTTCTACATTACCAGACTTTTGGTCAGCATCCATTTTAGGTTTTTCTTCTGAGCTATTATCCTGAGTGTTTATCAAATCATTTTCAATTTTTTGAATTCTATTGTCCAATTTATCTTGAATTTCATCCATTTTAGACTCTAGTAAATTAGTATTTGTATCCAACTGTATCATAAATTCTGAAAATCCATTAACCACTTTTAAAATTTTTCGCTCCAAAAAATCAAACTTAGATTTTACCAATTCTTTAATTTCCTGCTTAAATTTTTCAAGATGCTGATTCACAATCTCATCCCTTCTTTCAATCTCCTCTAAGAGAAATTCTATTATATTAAAATCAGGTTTCTGAGACTGAAGAGTTAAAACTTGTTCCTTTAAATTGTTGGTGGGGGAATCCCCCCCCCCCTACTTGTTTATCTGACTTTGTAAATCTCAGTGCCATGTTTCCGCCCAGGCAGGCTTTGTTAAAAAGAAAAGAAAAAAAAACAAGAGAAAAAACTTCTTTCCAATCAACAACAATATCAAGTCTTCAGGAAAAAAAAGAAAAGAAAAACACAGGAGCGAAGTTTTGTCTACAAATGTAACCAGTGGTATTTATTCCGCTACATTGTAATAATAGAAAACGGAAGGACTTTTCCTTTCTGCCTCTTCTCCAGCTGCTGCAAGCGCCATTTTAAAAGGCTTTCCCCCCCCCTTTCCTTTCGTCTTTTCTCTTAAGTAATTTTTTTAAAAGATAAGTAAAATACTTGCGGTTCAGTATTACAGATCCAGCTCACATTTTCTTTGAGTAATCTGTTAGATTCACAGGCTTGCTCTTGACGCCTGGCTCTGCATTAGCAGAGGTCTCCCAAAGCCCGGAGCAACGGCTGGGGATATGGGGCATCTCATCCGCTCCGTCCCAAAAGAAAAAGAAAAACTTTTGGGACTCTGCAGAGAGTTCTACCCACCCCTGCCGGCTCTATCTCCGTTTCCTCATGGAAACGGAGTTTTTTCGAGCCGCCGTTCCGTTGTGAAGGCGGCTCTGACAGGCAGTGGAAGCTGACGATCCCAAAGGAATGTCTGGCAGCGGCCAGCAGCAAACAGGAAGTCGGCAAATTAAATTAATTAAGTGTATTTATAAGTTAAGGAATCATAGCATTTTAATTAGTTTGGATTCAGATTCAGTAGTAAATCGAGTATAGTACCTAAACATAACTATGTCATATGGTCACCATTACATTATTAATTACGTTGATGATTTGTGTTGTTCTTTTAAATGTAACTTTGTAGGTGAAACCGGTAGGAGGGAAATGCTTTCAGACTTGCAAGACTGTGGTTTCACAGTATGAATTACCTCAAATGATTGACATCAATCTTGCCCACCTAAAAGTGCTTTCCCCCTCAGCTGTTTTCATACTGCAATGAATTAAGGAGAGTCAATTCAGAGATGGTTATAACATTTCCGGAATGAGATGGTTATAACAATCTTAATTTTTTTAAAGTCTATTATATGATAAAATATATAATAGATATTTTTGATATCAAGAAAGGTAAAGAAAAAGAAAGATAAAGTCAAGAAAATCAAGAAAGAAAAGGAAAAAGAAAAGAAACAAAGATGTAGAAAGAAAAATAAAAACCAGTGGTTTCTGATTTTTTTTAAATTTTATTTTTATAAATTTTCATTCATAAACATTTTTGAAATCCAGTGCATTGTCAGAGTATCATCTACAAATAGAACAAAGCCAAAGAAAGTTGGTAGTAAACATTAGCACACAAACTAATAGCAATAGTAATCATATAATAGCAGTAATAATAATATAACCAAAAAGTTTAAACTAGGTTTCTTCTTACATTAGCTGATTTACATTTTTATCAATTATTATGATTATAGTTATATACCTCTTTATTTTCAATATTGATAATATTAACATTCATAATCTTACTTTCTCTAATTTCTACCTCTTTTCTCTATCCATTCATAAAATTTATTCCATATCCGATAATATTCTGAATGTTCTTTATCTTTAATTTTTAAAGTTAGTCTGTCCATTTCAGCACAGTCCCAAATTTTTCTAATTACATCCTCGTCCGATGGGATGTTCATATTTTTCCAGTATTTAGCATATGTGATCCTTGCTGCTGTCAGTATATGTAACACTAAATTTGTGGTCACTTTATCATAGCCCTCTGATAGTATACCTAAGAGGCATGTTTATTTTATTTTTATTTTATTTTTCAGTTTATATACCGCCCTTCTCACTGAGGACTCAGGGCGGTGCACAGCCAGAATTAAAAACATGAAATACAAATATTAAAAACAGTTAAAATATATATAAATTTGGCCCAAAAATTTAAAAATCACAAACCAATTAAAATATTTAAAAAATTTAAAAATTTCTTCCTAAGCCAGCCCGGTTTGCTGGAAAAAGTGGGTTTTAAGGGCGCGGCGGGAAGACACTGAGGTCTTGGATTCTCTGTTTCTGGTTTAAACTCAATATTTTGTTCAGTTATCATTCCAGCCACTTATGTATGTTCTCCCAATATTTTCTTGCTTTACTGCATGTCCACCACATATGGTAATAGGTACCTGGGGTCTGGTTGCATTTCCAGAATTTGGCGGATAGTTTACTAAACATTTTCACCAATCTCGCAGGTGGTAAATGCCACCTGTAAAACATTTTGT